GGTCACAGGAAGCAGCGTTTTCAACGTCTCTCATTAATGAGAGAGACAGAATTGTGATACTCGAATGGGAATACTCGAGGAAGGACTAAATTAAATTTCCATGCAGCTCCGGCTCGAGTCCCAAGCTGAACAGATGCTATTTTTATTTTTCTATTCTGCCAACTTTCTATTATTAGACAAATCAGGAAAAGTCTGATTTCTCTCCCTTCTGGCTTCTCCTTCTCGTTTTCGTGGGTGGGTGGTGGTTTGGGTGGAGACTTTGTCCTGTCCTTAGAAGGTAAATGACAAGGAAATGGCAGCCACCTGAAAACTTGCCTTGATGCAGGTAACCCATCCCAGAAATATCCTTTAAAATGACATCTCATCCAGGCATCACCCCATCGCAGATGGCATAGCTGATGGGACAGGAAAAAATACATATTTTAGAGTATTTACAGCATCATTTTTCCCTGCCCTCACTTCCTTTTTGCGAAGGAGGAATTAGTCTTGGCTAGCCAAGTTCTGGAGTATTTCTTTTTTTCTTTTCTTTTCTTTTTTCTTTTCTTTCTTTCCTTCTTTCTTTCTTTTTCTTTCTTTCTTCTTTTCTTTCTCTCTCTCTCCCTCCCTCCTTCCCTCCTTTCTTTCTTTTCTTTCTTTTCTTTCTCTCTCTCCCTCTCTCTCCCTCCCTCCCTCCTTTCTTTCTTTTCTTTCTCTCTCTCCCTCTCTCTCTCCCTCCCTCCCTCCCTCCTTTCTTTCCTTTCTTTTCTCCCTCCCTCCCTCCCTCCTTTCTTTTTCTTTCTTTTTCTTTCTTTCTTTCTTTCCTTCCTTTTCTTTTCTTTCCCTCCCTCCCTCCCTCTCTCCTTCCTTCCTTCCTTTCTTTCTTTCTTTCTTTCTTTCTTTCTCTTTCTTTCTTTCTTTTTCTTTTTTCTTTCTTTCTTTCTTTCTTTCTTTCTTTCTTTCTTTCTTTCTTTCTTTCTTTCTTTCTTTCTTCTTCCTTTCTCTCTCTCTTTCTTTCTTTCTCTTTCTTTCTTTCTTCTTTCTTTTTTTGTGATAGTGTCTTGTTGTGTCACCCAGGTTGGAGTGCAGTTGCATCATCAAGGGCTCAAGCAATCCTCCTGCCTCAGCCTTCAAAGTGCAGGGATTACAGGTGTGAGCCATTGCACCTGGCCCTGGAGTATTTCCTGTGTATAATAAGGGAAAACGTGGGAAAAGATTCCGAATTGTGCAGTACCGTGGGTAGGATGGCTTGATGGGTCTACCTAAGAGAAGGCAGGGAGTTACCTACTAAGGAAAGCAGAATGGATCAGAAGGTGAGAATGAGGATAAGAGGAAGGAGCCAGGGATGAACTGAGTTTAGGAGAATTCAAGAGATAAATTAAGGGAGACTGAAGTAGCTGCTGGGCTGTTGATGTGGTTCGGCTGTATTGCCACCCAAATCTCATCTTGAATTGTAGTTCCCATAATCCCCTCATGTTTGGGAGAGACCCTGTGGGAAGCAATTGAATCATGGGATGGTTACCCTGTTCTGTGCGAGGGAAATGTGCGAAGGGAAAAGAAATACCTTTAAGGGTAAACAACCTTTATCCCATGTCAACGGCAATGCAGATATAAAAAGCAAATGATATAAGCAAATTGCAATGAGAAGGGAAGAAGGGAGAAGATATATATATCTATATATACATACATTTACACTCACCAGACTATGGAGGATTCATTACCAGACAAGAAGCAACAGCCTGGGCTCCAGAGTTGAGCACTCATCTGTTCACAGACAAGGAGAGGTCTCATGAAGCTTCAGCGTGGTCTGGGACCCTAGCTCTTTTTGCAATGTTTGGCATGAGGTCCAGTCACCAGGGCCCTTGGTGACTGGGCTCAAGGAACACAAAAAGGTCAACTTGTTTTTGTGATTGTCTGTTGTTTTTCAATAGCTAATGTACAGAATCAGATGTCTCCGAAACAGTCTGGATGAACGCCTGAGGGGGCTCACGCAACCTGTTCCAAGACTTGGTGACCATTGTTTGTGTCCCTGTACAACTGAGTTCAAATTTAATATTTAACTCTTCCTCCACATACCCCATGTTGTTCTAGTGATAGTGAGTGAGTTCTCATGAGCTCTGATGGATTTATGAAAGGCTTTTCCCCTTTGCTTGGCACTTCTCCCTCCTGCTGCCATGTGAAGAAGGATGTGTTTGCTTCCCCCTTCCACCACGACTGTAAGTTTCCTGAGACCTTCCCACCCCTGCTGAAATGTGAGTCAATTAAATCTCTTTCCTTTATAAATTACCCGGTCTCAGGCAGCCTTCACAGCAGTGTGAGAATGGACTAATACAGATGTCATGAGGAGGACTTGAGAAAGAGACAGGAGAAGAAGATACTTCACAAATGTTGGTGCTGTGAATGGAACCCAAACCCCAGCCTTTGGCGTTTTTAAGATATTTCAGTAAAGACATAAATTGGTTTAAAAACTTGTGTTTTGGAAAAGAAAAAAACAAAGAAAATTTAAAAACTGTGTTTTGGTCAGGCGTAGTGGCTCACTCCTATAATCATAGTACTTTGAGAGACCGAGGTGGGAAGATTGCTTGAGGCCAGGAGTTTAAGACCAGCCTGGGCAACATAGCAAGACTCCATCTCTACAAAAATAAATTTAAATTAGCCTGGTGTGGTGGCATGCACCTGTAGTCCTGCCTACTCAGGAGGCTGAGGTGAGAGGATCACTTGAGCCCAGCAGTTTGAGGCTTCAGTGAACTATGATTGTGCCACTGCACTCCAGACTAAGCAATACAGCAAGACCCTCAACTCAAAAATGAATAAATAAATAAATTAAATTAAAACTATGTTTTGTATGATGGTCTGGTGTTTATTAAAGACAGCCTGGACTACTGAGAGGTTAGAATTTAATGGCAAGGGAATACCTACTTTCACCCCACTTCTCCCATCAACATAGACTGTAGCCCAGATATTTTAAATTAGTAACCTATAGGGCAGGTGGGTGTAGCCCCCAAAGGCATCTTGTTTGGTTAGTTGAGAGTTAATTTTTTTTTTGAACCAACAATTGAAAATTGAGATTTCACATTTTAAAGGCCTGCATTTTCTTTGCTACTTCTTTTGAAAAAAAAGGAAAAATTTGGCAATATGAGGCCCTTATTGCCACAAGGCAAAAATAGGCTCATGCTTCCTAGTTAACCTCAGTGCCCGCCACTCACATAAGGCATGTATATGCATGTATGCCTCCCCACTGCCTCCATTTGCCAGCAAACCTTGGAGATATTGTGAGTTTGGTTCCAGACTGTCACAATAAGGCCAGAATTGTAACAAAGCGAATCGTTCAAATTTTTGGTTCCCAGTGCATATAAAAGTTATGTTGACACTATAGTGAGTGTGCAATAGCATTATGTCTAAAAGTGCACATACCTCAATTAAAAAATAATTCACTGCTAAAATAAAAAAAGCTAATGATCATCTGAGCCTTCAGTGAGTTGTAATCTTTTTCCTGGGGAAGATCTTGCAGTGGTTACTGACTGATCAGGCTGGTGGTTGCTGAAGTTTGAAGTGGCCGTGGCAAGTTATTAAAATATGACAATAACGAAGCTTGCCATGTCAATGGACACTTCCTTTCACAAAATATTTCCCTGTACCATATTTGATAGCATTTAATGACAATAGAACTTCTTTCAAAAGTGGAGTCAATCCTCTCAAATGCTGCTGCTTCTTTATTAACTAAGTTTACAGAATATTCTAAATCCTTTATTGTCATTTCAACAACGTTCACAGCATCTTTACCAGGAGTAGACTCCATCTCAAGAAATCACTTTATTTGTTCATCCATAAGAAGCAGCTCCTCTTTCATTCAAGTTTTATCATGACATTTGTATTAGGGTTCTCTAGAGAGGCAGAACTTATAGGATAGACGTATAGATGAAAGGGAGTTTTTTAAGGAGTATTGACTCACATGATTAGAAGGTGAAGTGCCGCAATAGGCCATCTCCAAGCTGAGGAGCAAGGAAACAGTCCAAGTCTCAAAACCTTAAAAGTAGGGAAGCTGACACAGACACACCCAGGAATAATACTTTGTATCCTTCAATCCAATCAAGTTGACACTCAATATTAACCATTACAAGAATGCAGCAATTCAGGCACATCTTCAGGCTCCACTTCTAATTCTAGTTTTCTTTCTGTTTCCACCATATCTGCAGTGACTTCCTCCACTGAAGTCTGGAGCTCCTCTAAGTCATCCATGAGAGTTAGAATCGACTTCTTCCAAACTCCTGCTAATGTTAATATTCTGACCTCTTCCCATGAATCATGAATGTTCTCAATGGCATCTAAATGGTAAATTCTTTCCAGAAGGTTATCAATGGATTTTGCCCAGATCCATTGGAGAAATCACTATCTATGACAACTGTAGCCTTAAAAAAGGTATTTCTTAAAGTAATAGAACTTGAAAGTTGAAATGACTTCTTGCTCGATGGACTGCAGAATGGATGTTTGTGTTAACAAGCATGAAAACATTACTCTCCTTGTACATCTCTCTCAGAGCTTTTGAGTGACTAGATGCATTTGCCAATAAGAAGTAATATTTTGAAAGGAATCCCTTTTTTTCCTTGGAGGAGTAAGTCTCAACAGTGGGCTTAAAATATTCAGGAAACATGCCACAGACAGATGTACTGTCATCCAGGCTTTGTTGTTTCATTTATACAGCACAGGCAGAATAGATTTAGCATAATTCTTTGAGACAGGGTTTCACTCCTGTCACCCAGGTTGGAGTGATCTTGGCTCACTGTAACCTCAGCCTCCCCGGCTCAAGCAATTCACCTGCCTCAGCCTCCTGAGTAGCCAGAACTATAGGCACACTTCACCACACACAGCTAATTTTTGCATTTGTTTGAGTTGGGGTTTTACCCTGTTGCCCAGGCCCATCTTGAACTTCTGAGCTCAAGTGATCTGCCTGCCTCGACCTCCCAAAGTGCTGGGATTATAGGCATAAGCCACCATGCCTGGCCTGGATTTAGCATAATTCATAAGGGTCCTAAGATTTTTCAGAATGGAAAATGAGCAATTGGCTTCACCTTAAAGCCACCAGCTGCATTAGCCCCTAATAAGACAGTCAGCCTGTCCTTTGAAGCTTTGAAGCCAGGCATTGCTTTCTCCTCTCTAGCTAGATGGCATCTTGTTCCAGTAGATGTTTTGTCTGCATTGAAATTCTGTTGTTTAATGTAGCCACCACCATCCACGATCTTAGCCAGATCTTCTGGATAACTTGCTGCAGCTTCTACATCAGCACTTGCTGCTTCACCTTGCAATTTATGTTATGGAAATGGCTTATGTCCTTAAATTTCATGAACCAACCTCTGCTAGCTTCTAATTTTTCTTCTGTAGCTTCCTTACCTTTCTTAGCCTTCATAGAATTGAAGAGAGTTAGGGTCTTGCTCTGGATTAGGCTTTATCTTAAGGGAATGTTGTCGCTGGTTTGACCTTCTATCCAGACCACTCGAACTTTCTCCATATCAGCAATAAGGCTGCTTTACTCTCTTATCATTTGTGTGTTCACTGGAGAGGCACTTTTAATTTCCTTCAAGAACTTTTCCTTACCATTCACAACTTGGCTACCTGTTTGACACAAGAGGCCTCTTTGTTGGCCTGTCTTAGCTTTTGACATGCATTCCTCACTGAGCTTAATCATTTCTAGCTTCTGATTTAAATTGTGAGATATGCCACCCTTGCTTTCACTTGAACCATTAGAAGACACTGTAGGGTTATTGATTAGCCTAATTTCAATACTGTTGTGTCTCAAAGAATAAGGAGGCCTGAAAAGAATGTGAAAGATGGGGAATGGCTGATTGGTGGAGAAGTCAGAACACACAACATTTATCAATTAACTTCATCATCTTATATGAGTACAGTTCATGGCACCCCAAAATGATTACAAGAGTAATTTCAAAGATCGCTGAGCACAGATTACCATAACAAATATAATAATAATGAAAAACTTTGAAGTATTGTGAGAATTACCAAAACATAACACAGAAACACAAAGTAAGCACATGCTGCTGGAAAAATGGCACCTAAAGACTTCCTCGACGCAGGGTTACTGTGAAACTCCAATTTGTAAAAACTGTAATATCTTCAAAGTGCAGTAAAGCAAACTGTGATAAAATGAAGCATACATGTCTATTTCCTACTATCAGTAATTGCAGACTAAATTCAGACCTACTGTCCTGCTGGGGACAATTACAAAAGTGGGAAAAAAATAAAATAAAATCTGCTTGAAAGCATCAGAGTTAAAAAGACAATGAAGAATTACCAACGAAGATCTGAGGAAAGATGGGTATTCAGGGAGGCAAGCCCAATAACTGGGCCTCTTTTCCCCTTGGGACATTTGCTGCTTCTGGGTATGATAACTAAGAACTAGAGAGATGGTGAGGTATGGTGGCTCATGTCTGTAATCCCAGCACTCTGGGAGACCAAAGCAGGAGGATCACTTGAAGTGAGGAGTTTGAGAGGAGCCTGACCAACATGGTGAAACCCCATCTCTACTAAAATACAAAACAAACTAACTGGGTGTGGTGGTGAGTGCCTGTAATCTTAGCTACTTGGAAGGCTGAGGCAGGAGAATCTCTTGAACCCAGGTCGGAGGTTGCAGTGAGCCGAGATCATGCCACTGCTCTCTAGCATGGGGTGAGAGAGTGCAGAGCGAGACCCCCTCTCAAAAAAAAAAAAAAAAAAAAAAAAAAAAGGAACTGGAGAGACTAAGCAGCACCTGGGCAACTTTGCGTGGCCACGTGAACACAAGTTGGAATCCAGTGCTCACCAAAGGAGAGGGCAGACATATAACCCCCCCATGGTAGGCTAGGGACCCTGAAAGTCTTATCTTAAGACTGAATGAAAAAATTAGCCCAGCATAGCGGCATGTACCTATAGTCCCAGCTACTTGGGAAGATCCCTTGAGCCCAAGAGTTCAAGGCTGCAGTGACCTATGTTTGTACCACTGGACTATGTTGTCCAGCCTGGGCAGCACAGTGAGACCCCCATCTCCAAAAAAATTTTAAAAAAAGAAAAGACTGGATGACTTGGATGAAAGTAGATGAGATTTTTGTAGGGTTTCAGCTGAGATCCAATTAGCTTAATTCTTCAAATTGGATAAAGGTGATGTCAGATCCTCGCATCCCCAGGCACCTTGCAAAAGCAAATATAAATACAGTTGACCTTTGAACAACATGGGTTTCTACTGTATGGCTCATTTATACACGGATTTTTTTTTTTTTTTTTTTAGAATTTCACTCTTGTCACCCAGGCTGGAGTGCAATGTTGGCTTACTACAATCTTCACCTCCCAGATTCAAGTGATTCTCCCGCCTCAGCCTCCTGAGTAGCTGGGATTACAGGTGCCCACCACCACACTGGCTACTTTTTGTAGTTTTAGTAGGGACGGGGTTTCACCATGTTAGCCAGGCTGGTCTTAAACTCCTGACCTAAGATGATCTGCCCGCCTCAGCCTCCCAAAGTATGAGCCACTGCACCCAACCTATACATTGATTTCAAAAGTAAAATATAGCCAGCCCACTCCTCTCTAGCTATGAAAGTCCTAGATGGCATCTTATTCCAATAGAAGGCTGTTTTGTCTACATTGATGCTCTGTTGTTTAGTGCAACCACCACCACCCCTAATCTGAGCCAGATCTTCTGGATAACTTGCCGCAGCTTCTGCATCAGCACTTGCTGCATCACCTCACACTTTTATGTTACGAAAATGGTTTATTTCTTTACATTTCTTAAACCAACCCTTGCTAGCCTGAAATTTTTCTTTTCTTTTTTCTTTTTCTTTTTTTTTTTTTTGAGACAGGGTCTTGCTCTGTCACCCAGGCTAGAGTACAGTGGTGTGATCTTGGCTCACTGCAACCGCCGCCTCCCAGGTTCAAGTGATTCTCCCGTCTCTGTCTCCCAAGTAGGTGGGATTACAGGTGACTGCCACTGTGCTCGGCTAATTTTTATATTTTTAGTAGAGATGGGGTTTCACCATCTTGGCCAAGCAGATCTTGAACTCCTGACCTCGTGATCCACCTGCCTAAGCCTCCCAAAGTGTTGGGATTACAGGCGTGAGCCACGGAGCCTGGCCTAGTCTGCAATTTTTTCTTACAGCTTCCTCGTCATTCTCAGCCTTGATAGAATTGAAGCGAGTTAGGGCCTTGCTCTGGATTAAGCTTTGGTGAACTCTGCATTTGCAACCAAACGTAAATATAAAAGACAGTAGTTACAGGATGTCAAACTCACTTATATGTGGAAGGCTGACTTTTATATCCCTGGATTCCACAGGGCTGGCTGTGGGAATGAAATCTGAGTGGATTTTGGTATCTGTAGTGGGTCCTGGAACCAGTCCTGCTGTGGATGCTGAGGGATGCCTGTACTCTCAGGAGGAATATAACACAGTAAGTTTACATTACTCAACCAACTTTTCATATACAATTTTAGCACACAAGAGAATAATCAGGCACCTAATGAAATAAGAAAACATGAAAGATCCAGCAGAAACAACTGTCATAGAAACAATCCCACAGAACTCTAGTTAATGGATTTATCAGATACAGACTTTAAAGTCATTATATTTGCTACACGTAAGGAGACAAAAAATAACAAATTTGGCTGAGAACTGAAAACTTTAAAAAAGGGCAAAAAAGATTTAGAAAATAACCAGTGAGAAATTTAGAATTGAAAAATATATTAACAAAAGCAAAGAGCTCAGTGGATGCTCTTTACTTGGTTTAACAAAAAATTATACACAGCTGTAAGGAAAACTGATAAACTGGAAAGCAGGTTAGAAGAAAATATCAGGATGAAACATGGAGAGACAAAAGGATAGCAATGCTGCAGAGAGTAAGAGATATGGAGATAAACTGAGAATTAAAATTTCAGAAGGAGAAGAGAAAGAGAATGGTACAATAACAACATTTGAAGAGAAAATTGTTGAAAATTGCCAAAATTGATTAAAGACAACAAGCCACAAATCTTAGAAGCACTGGGAGCTGCAAGCAGGAGAAATTTTTAAAAGCCACACCTGGGTACATCACACTAAAACAGATGAAAACCAAAGACAAAGAAAAAACGTCACAAGCAGCTGTCACTATCTGAAAAAATGTAATAGACTGTTAGCTTACTTCTTGATAGAAACAATGAAAACTAGAAATTAGTGGAATTTAAATATCTTTCAAGTGCTGAAATAAAATAACTGTCAGCTCTAGAATTCTACGTTCAGTGAAAATAGCCTTCATTAATAAAAGTGAAATTAAGACATTTTCAGGATTCTTCACCAGCATCAAATACTAAAGGATGTTCTTTAAACAGAAGGACGATGATTAAGGATGATAGGTTATATAGATGCGGAAAGAAATGAGGTCCAGCATGAAGGTTCATTTGAGGAAGTCTAAATGAATTATACCATATGAAACAATGTAACACTGCTGAAGATTTAAAAAATTAAAATATATTAAAATTGCACACAAATCAGGAGAGGAAGTAAATGAAGTGAAATGTTCTAAGGTCCTTGTGCTATTATGGAAGAAAATGAAAGTACCAATTAACATTATTAGCCTTTGCTAACTCAGAGACACATACTGTGATCTATTGGATAACCTCTAAAAGAATACTAAAAGAATACACAACTTCCAAGATAATGGAGGGAAAAACAGTGTTTTCCAAAAGCAGGCAAAATGTGAGGATGAAGAGAACAGAGAGCAGGTGGGATGATTGAAAACACTTAATAACATGGTACATTTAAATTCAAAGATATCAGTAATTAAATGTAAGTAAATTAAGTACTTCAATTAAAAATCAAAGATTGAATTGGATAAAAATCTGTGTACTGTTTATAAGAAACATACCTAAAATATTTGTATTATGTTGAAATTAAAGAGTAAAAAGTATAAATATTAACAAAAATTATATTTATGTTATCTATATTAATATTAGACAAAGTAGACTTTAAGGTAAAAAGCATTAGCAGAATGACAAAAATTTTAATTCATGAGAAAGTAAAATGATTATGAAACTTGTACACATCTTACAATATAGCTCCAAAAATATAAAACTCACCAGGCGCAGTGGTCACACCTGTAATCTCAGCACTTTGGGAGGCCCGGGCAGGCAGATCACGAGGTCAAGAGATTGAGGTCATCCTGGCCAATATGGCGAAACCCCATCTCTAATAAAAATACAAAAATTAGCCGGGTGTGGTGGCACATGTCTGTAATCCCCACTACTCAGGAGGATGAGGCAGGAGAATGGCTTGAATCCAGGAGGCAGTGGTTGCAGTGAGCTGAGATCATGCCATTGCACTCCAGGCTGGGTGACAAGAGCAAAACTCTATCTCAAGAAAATATATGTGTGTGTGTGTGTGTGTGTGTGTGTGTGTGTATGTATATATATGTGCATATGTGTGTGTGTGTTTGTATGTATATATATGTGCATATGTGTGTGTGTGTGTGTGTGTATATATATGTATATATATATATATATATATAAAACTAAGATTGACAAAACTACAAGAAGATGTAAACAGATACATGAGTAAGAATATACATTATGGACTGGAAGCCAAGATGGCCGAATAAGTGGCAGCTCCAGAATGCAGCTCCCAGCAAGAGAGATGCAGAAGCCAAGTGGTCTCCACAATTCCAAATGAGGTACCAGGTTGATTTTGTGGGTTTGGTTGGAGAGTAGGTATAAACCAAATAGGGTAAGTTGACACAAGGCGGGGTACTGCCCCAACCAGGAGGTGCGTGCAATTGACCAGATGACTGGTAGATCTCCCACTCTGGGAATTCAGTTTGGATACAGTGCTCCACCCAAGCCCTCTACAACCCATGGAACAGGCGATCTTTGCCAGGCTGAAAAGCCTCAGTGAGCTGCCTGAACAGGGCAGAACAGCAACTTCAGCCAGCATCGGGGCTGTCGGCATAGATCTAGGTAGAAGCACTGGCAAATGCTGAGAAAGCCAGAAAGCCAGTGGGATGGAGCTACCCTCCCCCCCAGAAAGACGGGCAACTGAAAGCAGGGAAACAGGCCATACGGCAGGACGGGTCTCCCCTGACAAAGCTTAGCAGGCTAAAAAACTCTCACTCCAGAGTTTCACACCCAGAACATCAGTTAGAGAGCGACCAGGAACAATCGAGCTCGGCAGGGGGAAGGGCAGCTGCCATTGCAGAAGGCAGCCTAATTTTCCTGAGTAATACAAGACACAGGAAAAATACGCAGCAGCTCCAATGAATCCAGGGCAGCCCAGCAGCGCCTCTGCAGGCAGACAAAGGAAAGGCTGCCTCCCCAAGTAGCTACCTGAGATCAAAGCTATATAAATCCAACAAGATGGGAAGAAACCAGCGCAAGAAGGATGAAACCATCAAAAACCAGAATGCCTCTCCCCCACAATGAGATCACAACTCCTCACCAGCAAGGGGGACAAAGCAGGATGGAAAATGAATTTGACAAATTGACAGAAGCAGGCTTCAGAAGGTGGGTAATAACAAACTTCTCTGAGTTAAAGGAACATGTTCTAACCCAATCCAAAGAAACTAAAAACCTTGAAAAAAGGTTAGATGAAATGCTAACTAGAATAACCAGCTTAGAGAAGAACATAAATGACTTGATGGAGTTGAAAAACACAGCACAGGAACTTTGTGAAGCATACACAAATTTCAGTAGCCAAATAGATCAAGCAGAAGAAAGGATATCAGAGATTGAAGATCAACTCAATGAAATAAAACAAGAAGGCAAGAAAAGAGAAAAAAGAGTGAAAAGAAATGAACAAAGCTTCCAAGAAATATGGGATTATGTGAAAAGACCTAATCTACACTTGATTGGTGTACTTGAATGTGACAGAGAGAATGAATCCAAGCTGGAAAACACTCTTCAGGGTATTATCCAAGAGAACTTCCCCAACCTAGCAAAACAGGCCAACATTCAAATACAGGATATACAGAGAACACCACAATGATACTCCTTTAGAAGAGCAATCCCAAGGCACATAATCATCAGATTCACCAGGGTTGAAATGCAGGAAAAAATGCTAAGGGCAGCCAGAGAGAAAGGTCGGGTTACCCATAAAGGGAAGCCCATCAGACTCACAGCAGATCTCTCAGCAGAAACCCTACAACCCAGAAGAGAATGGGGGCCAATATTCAACATCCTTAAAGAAAAGAACTTTCAACCTAGAATTTCATATCCAGCCAAACTAAGCTTCATAAGTGAAGGAGAAATAAAATCCTTTACAGACAAGCAATTGCTGAGAGATTCTGTCACTACCAGACCTGCCTTACAAGAGCTCCTGAAGGAAGCACTAAACACAGAAAGGAAAAACCAGTACCAGCCACTGCAAAAAAAAGAACCAAATGGTAAAGACCAACAACACAGTGAAGAAATTATGCCAACCAAACAGCAAAATGACCAACCAGTAACAAAATGGCAGGATCAAATTCACACATAACAATATTAACATGAAATGTAAATGGACTAAATGCCCTAATCAAAAGACACAGACTGGCAAATTGGATAAAAAGCCAAGAACCATCTGTGTGCTGTATTCAGCAGACCCATCTCATGTGCAAGGACACACACA